AACTGTCTGCTTTTGAAGATTTTTCTCCCAGATGCCTTTTCTCCCTTTGGTCTCTAACATTTATTACTGGAGCATAAACGCAGGGGTTTGCAGAGCACCGAGCCGCGAAGACCCTATGCAATGCTCTCCTCCCACCCAGATGCAGTGGCAGCGAGGACCCCTGGCCGTGCCCAAAATCTTGGACCTCCAGGATGACCACCACAGGCCTCACTGCATGACTTCCCTTCACCTATGCTGGTGTATAGGGACAACAAGCAATGAAAGATTACGCTAAAAAGCCTGGAAAGATCTACCACAGGGCGAAGCGCCACGTGCCTCTGGAGCAGATGGCCCACGCAGGCTGGGGCAACACCTCCACTGAAGGGATGTTTAAAACCAGATCAATCACAAGACAGCTGAGATACCACCAATCCTTGCTTTCTGAGGTTTCTTCTTGCCTACTCCTAAATGTGGGCTCTCACATCTACTCCGTGGCCTCAGAGGGGCTAGGTACAGCCCCCTGTGACTCTCTCAGGTTTCTGGTCAACCACCACTGACATAAATGCATTGGATCTATTTTCTGCTTGTGTGAAAATACTTCTCTGTCCCCAGCATGGCAGAAGGGTGTAAGGGGTTTTGGGAAGCAGCAAGTGTTACTTGATTTCCTTCAGCACTTCCAACCACCCACTGCTGTAGCACCCAAGTTATTTGGCAAGTGAGGTACCTTTCTAGCTTGACCTGGCATGGTGAGAGGCAAATGCTTGCAGACCAGAACCACAGGAATTGAAGCAACTCTTGGGAACGAGATGGAAAAGGCACAGCTGATTACAGTGCAAAACACTGAACTGCTCTTGAGTGTTCAGTTCATTTACCCAACTTTCATTTCAGCTCGTTTCATTACCCTTCAAACATCCTTGGAGATACATGAACTTGTCAAGGGACAGCACCTTACTCAAATCTAAAAGGCTGGAGCCCCTCAGAACAACTAGAAAATGTGCCCCTAAACGAGTTAAGTCTGGAGATATTTCCACCAGTTGTGATTTCTGCTTTCTCCTACACCAGCAGTGTTGCTTTTTGCACCCCCCTTTTCAGCCTCCCAGAAGGAGCTGCAGGGGTCTGAGAAACTGGCCTGTTTCATCATGTCCAAAAGCTGTCCTGGCATCCATGGCAACTCGACATTTTATTTCTTAGCTCTGTTGTATCAATTGACAGTACATTTTGGAAAGAAACGGACAACACTTAATGAAACAATTTTATCAGAGGGGAGGTAAATTCAAGATAGCAAATAATACTGAGAGATGGATGCCTGTAACTTTCAAGTTTCAATAGCTGGATGTTTTTAGAGTCCATGAATACTTAGATGTACAGGTATCTTAAAACCAGCAATCCAATCCAGTATGACAGGTCCTATGTCCTACTTGGTGCTCTCTGACAGTGACCACGGGGATGTGAAAGAAACACTTCTACCACTTTGATCTTGAAAGGCAATTTTGAGGTTTTCTAGGGCTTACTGTTTATTTTTAACTCTTTTCTTATAGAGATTGAACTCAGATAGCTGGACACCTGCTTTTCTGTAACTGTCTGTTTGTAACACATTAGTTGCTAGTATGGTGAAGGTAGTGGAAAATTTAAAAAAGCCCTCTTCTGCTTTAGAAGAGTGGTAAGCTCTGAGGGCTTTACAAATTTGTATTTTTTAATTTTTACTTTTTTTTTAAAGAAGGAAAGTCCCCATACTCTGCAGGGGAAAGTTCCCCTTTATTTCCATAGTGCAAACAAACCACAGCTGAGCTAACACTTACTTACTTAAATAAGCAAACTTGCCAACACTTCAAAACAGCTCAGAAAACCCCCCTTCCTAGGTGCTGAAAGAGCTCATTCACCATACAGTCTCAATACACATGCAGGAAGAAAGTTTTAAACACATTATTTAAAAAGAAACAAAACTTATGCTAGCTTTTAGCATCTTAGGCCACCCTTACTTAGACTACTTGGAATTACTCTAATTTAGTTTTCAGTGGACATAAGTTTTCTACCCACAGTTTCTCATTGACAACCCTGGGGCAAGTACAAAGACAGAAAAGCAAAAGAGGTATCTAAATACCTACTATTGATAGTTTCTCCAGAAAATGTTATCAGTGATGTCACACATATTATATCAAGCATCCCAAGAAATAATATTAACTCAAACAGCCATTTCAGTAAACTGAAAACTCATTTTGCATGTGAAGAAGTGACTTCATGAAAATTTTCTCTCTTAACAGCAAAGGTTTCTTACATATCAAAAAGAAGATCAGAAGATCCATTATATGTCACATAGTGGGGATTTCTGGTTGTGATTTTAAAAAACCCTACACATCAAAATAAAAATCACTATTGTCATAATCATACACGATTGACATGTAATGCAGCTGTGGATTTGGACAATGGTGGCCTCCAAACAGTATATAATCTCTGTGTTGTAATAATGAAATCACTTAAAATACAAACAATATATGATGAATTTCTTTAGTCCCATGTCATCCTTGAGAACTGGATTGCCTCCCCTCATTTTGACAAAGTTGTACCTTTATATACTGGCTTGGATATAAAAAAGTGACAAAGCCCACTAACTAGAGTAAATGAGATCTCTAGAGTTTTAAAAACAATACAGATGTGTTGTAAATCACAACAGAGCCAGTGCAGAAATCATCATTACTGTTCAAATAATTAATGAGCCCAGGCTTGCAAAATATGAAATGCCATGGTTCCAGCTTCTGAGTTACTGTATGGAACAACGAAAACAAAACACAGAAATTAAATGACCCAAGGTTTGGCAGGATTTTTTTTATAACAAAAGAATATTATCAAATGACTGGGGGCAGATGGAGGACACTCAAAGTTTTCTACTAGAAAAGCAAAAATCTTTGCTGAACCTAAAAATCATTGCTCAGAAAAGTTTGTTTCTTGTATGTAGGTAGCTATCAGTAGTTTAGCATCTCCAGACAACCATGTACTTCTCACAACATGTACCCATTGATTAGTGAAGAGCAATTATTTATAAACTAGCCGAAGGTGCAGTTAGCATATTTTTAGGATCCTGCCTATAGCATTCAAGGGTGCCTTTCCTAAAGCAGCAGTAAAGCTGCTAGGATCAAGTGGGAGGTTGCCAAGCGTTCCCAAGTGGACAAGGAGCTGCGTGCAAGCCCAGCGCTTGTGTTCCGATGCAATCCACTTCCCCACTGAAAGCACCACTAAATCATGTCTCTCCTTCCAGCTGCCAGCTGATAAGAGTTAAGCAATGCATTTCTAAAACAGTGGCCACGAGCAGCCTTTACTTGCCTACCTGTTTCGTCAGGCGAGCTCGGCGAGGCACTGTCCTGGGACAGCGTAGTCCAGCTGGAGTCCTCATCGCTTGGGGCAAGGTTTTGAATCCTATGGAGGGCACAATCTGTTTTGGCCCCAGTTTTTGGGTGGTCTTTCTTAGTCTCAGGGCTTGATGACACTGTGGCAACTTGGCCATCCTCTGGGCTTGACAGTTTGTTTTGCTTCCGGGGTAGGACTTCCCCATTGACAATAACGGTAGAAGCCTGGCCATTGCTTTGTGCAGATTTATCTTCCATCACAACAAAACTCTGCTCTAGCTCTCTAGCAGATGTCTCTAGATCTGCATAGTAATTCAGGAAGCTCTTGGTCCTTCTTGGCTGCGAGGGTAATATTTCACAGCCAGAGGAATCCTGTGGGATTGGCTCTTTGCCTTCAAACTTCTCAGAAGTTACATTTATGCCCGCAGTGGTACTGAGGTTTTTGTTGGGATCCTGCTGTCCCTGCTCGGCAGCTTTCCTGAGCTGGTTTTCTCCATTCTTCACCAGCTTTATATTGGCAGAGCTGTTGCCCAGAAGGGGCTGCGTTGCTGGATCTGAAAGACCCATGGCTGTCTGAATGTTAGTCAGTGCATATTTTTTCCTGCATTTCGGAGGAGTGCTGTTCTTGGTCTCTGTGTGCCTGATTTCTGCATTCAGAAGTTCGTTATGAGAGGAGCGCAGGTTAAGGGTGTTCGGCGGGGTGGCGGGGTTGTTGCGGTTCACAACATCTGTCGTGCTGCCACTTGCCATAAACACTGCCAACTCGTCCACGCCAGAATCGACTAGAAAAGCAAAAGAGACAGTCGTGAAACACCTTCATTATATGCACTATTTTGCTAAGGCTTCTGGAAAAGGGATGCAGCACTTCACATAATTGTTTTACAGTAGGAAAATTACCACAACCTAAGTGGGTAAGAGAATAGAGAAAAGCTTAGCTTATTAAATCAGGAAAAACAGAGGCAGAAAAAATATAGACAGATTATCAGGACCATGAAGCTGAGAAAAAGCAGAAAGCTTGACCCTATACAAGACAGTTTCAGGGCAGTTTTTTCATGTCTGATTCTGTTGCAGGCAGGCTTGGGGACAGGAGGGGTGCCCTCTGCAAATGTCTGGGCGTCCAGAAGTCATCCTTACCATCGTTTCATTTTAGTATTTCTCCTCTACCTCCAATGAGGAGGAGAACTCCTCATGCACTCATCACTAGGAAGCAGAAAATTTGAGCAATTTCTGAGCAGACTGCAGGCAGATGCTGCTCCTTTCTCATTTAGGGTAGAACTCAAGTACTGTTCAGCTGTTGCCTCTTAACACCTGCATTTTGTCTGCTCTGTCTGCCTTTCTCTCCCCTCCGCAGCTATTTTTTTTTCTTCTTTTGGAAGGGGAGAAGTAGAGGACCAGAAGGTAGAGAATACAAGAAGTAGATTATTTCACAAGGGTGAAATTTCTGTGGGGGGAAAAAATCCCTTGACAAAATATCCTGCTCTAATTCAATCAACTTTACAAAAAAAGGGCTGCTCCAGAGATGAAGATGGCTCACTATTTCTACAGCTCACAAAGTTCAAATTTATGGATAAAATGTACAACCTAGGGCAGAGTACACATATTACACTGTTAAAAAACAAACATTCTTTTGTCTACTGTAGACAAGTTTCTGATTTTTCTTAGCCAGGGGCACAGCTCACATTTTGAAAAAAGATGAAGTTTATTGAAGGAACAGATTTTTAGACTATGAAAAATTATCAAAATACTTTTTTAAAAAAAAACGTAATTTGTTCCTGTACTGTCTATTTATGGCTCCCACTAATCTGCACAAATACTCCATGAACACCTCAATTTACATACTGTAGTAGTCACTGTTGTTTGACACCTGGCAACTAAATTAGAGGCCAATTAATAAATCACTCCCATCTGCCACAGCATGAAACACCCTTTCTGTTGTTCCTAATTCTCAGATATCACTGAGTGCTTACATTGTACATAAAAACATGTCTAGGGCTTACCCAGGAATGAGAACCTGCAATTTGAGCTAGCCGATGACAGATCATTCCAGCTGAGTTGTGCTGCATCCTTGTGTATTTGATATATGACAGAACTGACTGCTGTATAGATTTGTAAGAGATTAAATATATGGGTTTTAAAAGAACATATACATAAACATAGAGTGAAAAGGAGCACTTCACAATGTTACCTAAATGCACACACAGTTGCTAGTGTTCCCTCCTCTTTGATGTGCTGTCAAAGCTGCGCGCTTCCAACCATCACTCCAGTTCATATAAAACCGAGCAGATCAAGTACACTCTTTATTCCCTGAATCACCCACCTAGAACTACTTTTAAAACTTGTCCAAAACAGCACTTAAACTAAATTTTACAAATTTTCATGTCTGCCATTTTCTCAAGCCCCAGTCAGTCAGTCTAGATCAACTGCAAATTCTTCAGCAGCCGGAATACCCAATGCACACTGCGCAAGAGCCATCAGCTTAGGTAACAGTTAACAAACATCCTATAGACAATTTCAGCTTTAGCCACAAAATACTTCTAAAACACAACCATCACATAATTTAAAGGAACTTTATAAATGTACTTCTCATATAAATACATCAATACACGTTGCTTTCTGCATCTTGCCTAAAACCAACCAAGTCTAATGGAAGCAAGGTCACATCTGATCCTACGTAATGTTACCAAAGCACATGTTTTAACCTAAAAACCACAAAACGGCCTGTGTTTATGGACTGGCTGCTTTATATTTTCTCTGAATCAGTTAAATGTCTGACAATCCGGAAGTCACATAAAAAATAAATTAATAGGGCACGATAATTTTGACCCACTGCCTGACCTTTAGTAGAATTTACGGAATCACACAATATCTATGGATTTCACTAGATCATATTTTACTTTATGCTTCAACAAACTACAACAAGCACTTACGGTTTTCATCAATAAATACAACTGTCACAATTTGGAACAAGACTGAAATCTATTCTTCTCCTTTGTTACAAGTGAGCTGCTTCATGCAATGTTTGCCACTATTTTTACCACTGAACAAATTTCTTAAAAAATAATCTTCCTAGATAAAGCTTAAGTATCTGCCTGCCAGATTATCTTTAGCCAGTCCCCTGCTGTTAGCATTCCACTTATCAAAAATAATTGTAAGAATAAGCACAGAGAAACATCGAAACAAAATGTATTACATTTTACTAATCTGCTTGACAAAGCTCCCTCATTGATTTATGGTGAACACTGGCACATTGATCAATGACTGAGCCAAAGACTCCAGAACTCTTTGCGACCCAAGCAGTGTTTTAAGTTGGGTGTTAAGTTGGGCTGGTGCACAATCATAAGCAGAAAAATGACAAAATTAACCTTTCGCTAGGCACCAATCCCCCTCCTGACCCCATCTCAACTGATCTGTTGACCAAATCATCATGATCAAATGATCAAAGAACAGGCAAACAGTACCAGGAGGCGTGTGCAGAGTGGAGCAGGCTGTCCTCTCAAGGGACAGGCGCCTGCTCGCCGGTCGTCACTCTGCATTCCCAGCCAGGCTCTGGGATGCATGCAGCCGGCTTCCCTCTGCTCCTGGAAACAGCTAGAAAAGTGAGAAAAAGGGAAGCAACAAAAGAGGCAAAAAGAAAGAAATACAGATGCGAAAGGGCAGGTCCTGCATCTCAAGGGCAGAAGTTGCTACCAGACCAAGACTAACTAAAGTGCTGGAAAACATCTGAATGCAAGGAAATGCCAAAACCTAGATTGCATAGTAAAATAGCACAAGGAAGAAGAGCGATAGACTGTCCCTCTTTCTTTAAACAGGACACAGTGAAGCTCAAAACACATCACTTCTCCCAGAGGAAGCACATCCCAACCTTCTAATTAAAAACTTCAAGGAAATGCAACTTCTTCCTGTGCCCGTAATTTCAAGACCGAAATTCCAATCACCGACTTCCCGTGTCTTTTATTTTGTTCTCCCACCACAACCCTGCCTCCCTTGCCCCAGAGGTACCTAACACAGGCTGGTGCTGCACCCCTCACCAGCTAACCAACACCCCAGGCCAGGGGTTCTGCACCCAGGGACCCCATTCCCCTGCTTGGGCAGCTCCTCGTGCTGCCTGCCCACCGGCACGGACAACGCTACCGGCACAGGGTACCCTTTCTTCAACTCCTCTGCTTTCTGCTGAAAAGCAAACACAAATGGACAAGCAGACTGGGAATCACCAAGCCGACACATATATCTCAGCTAAAGCAGGTGAACAGTGGCAAGTTATAAGCAATTAAAAATAGGGTATTATAATAAAAATATATTCGACTCTGGTGAAAAACTAAGAATAATTAGGACATTATCATTACTGGGAACAATAACATATTATTAAAATGTTGGTGTTTAAAGACAGCACTATAAGGAGGTAGAAAATCTGTCATAGTAATTCATTAATGATTATAGCTTGTTTACTTTTTAAAACAAATCAGTCTCAACGGCATACTTCTAACGTTTAGAAACATACCTACAGATATAGATTAATATACTTTCACCACTATAATATGTTTAACACAAAACAGTCCCAATTTTCTAAGCATCATAATAATAATACAAATAACGCTATTACTTGAATGGCTTTTATTGATGTTTTTCAATCTTGTCATAAAGTTTACAGAGCTAGGAGGAGGAGACAGAAAATGCCATTGCAAACAGAAAACAGTGCATGACCAATTTGTCTTTACCTCTCATAAGACTTTTTTGCATTGTGCTGTCTATAGGAAGAGTTTTTAAAAAGCTGAACAGAGAGTTTATTCAAAAAAGGCACCGTTAAAAAGAAAAGAAAGTGTTTGCTCTTTTTCATATCTAAGTGCAAAATGAAAGCAAAATACGGGCCTGGGAAGAAGGAGGAAAAGCAGCAGAAAGTTTCACATATTTGCATAGCAGAATCTTTTAAAGGGCATCTGACCTGGAAGTACTTCTGACATGGCTCACGGGGCGTCAGCAATGCATCAGGAAATAGATTATAATTTGAAATCTGAAAAGAGGGATCATTTAAGAATTAAAACCAAAGGAAAACACAAAATAAAAATACCACATTTCAGAAGCTCCTGAGAGATGTCCAAGCATTCTAAACAAATCCCGGAACACAACAGCAAGGATTTTTTGAGCTTTCAGTGATATTTGACAGTCATTAAAGTATGGGAAAGGCCGGTCTACAGCAATGATAACAAGTAATTAAAAATAACTATGACATTTTTCTTAATGTACTCTTTACTAGGAGCACAAATTCAACAATATTCTCCAGTTTTAATCAACGTACTGCAGCAAAACTTTGTGACATTACAAAATCTCGTTTTTTCTCCCAATTACCCAACTACCGCTAACTTAGGAAACTACAGTAGCATTGGTAAATATAAACACAGCAGTAGGGCATGTTCACATGAAAATTTGCAGAATGAGATCCAGCATATGAAACTAAGAAGCATAGTCAAGCCAGGCAGTAAGCTCCTGTACAGGACCCTTTCCTGGCCATCTTCTCATAAGTAAACTATTTTGCCTTAAAGTCTCTCATTCGGATGTGAATGACACACACACTGGAAGACAAGGTATTTCTATGCACTTATGACTACTTCTGACTTTGTGTCTAGGAAACATAGGAAAGAAATAATACAAACCTTTCCATAAAGCAGCTTTCCTTTCTGCAAGGATATCTGATGAGTACAAAACATTTAATGACAAACTCATGCCATGGGGCTACAGCCTTAGATCCTGTACACTTTGGCTCTAGTTAAAGCCTAAGCAGCTGAAGAGAACGCTTCCATCATACAATGACTGCAACTCAACACTGGCTAACTCCCGCTGCTTCAAAGGGTGAATTCCAATGTTAAAACATTCATTCTTAATTAAGTATGCTAACACACTGTCTTCTCACTTCTGCACTCATTCTTCAACTAGGTAATAAACAGATGCCAGCCAAAAGCATTCTGATACAGTCTAGATTTACATTAATGTAGCTGAAATCAGAATTGAGACTAGAAGCTTTCTTAGCGTCAAGTGTCACCGTGCTCCTCCTTGTCTACATATCTACAGAAATTCCAGGGGACTTTAAACACTTTCAGAAGGGAAAAGGAAGGAAAACACTTTATTCAAGTGCTGTGGTAGATCAGAGCAACTGATGATGTTCCTACAGCCAGTGGTTTTCTTCTCACTGCTCCCTCCAGCAACGACATCTTTGCTGGACTGAGCTTGGAAGCTGGAGAGAGAAAGCTCAGAAAAGCCAGGAAAGCAAATTCCGATGGTGGGCAGAGCAGTTTTGAGAACACAAGGAAAGGAGGAGGCCTGCAAGCAGCTCACACGTGTGCTCTCAAACCCATCTGCAGACTTCCCCACACAAACCTCAGAGTTGCCGAGGATGGGAAGGATCTCTCAAGATCATCTATATCAAGCCCCCTGCCCAAGCAAGGAATCACTGCTGCCCTCTCTACTCCACCCTGGCTCTATCCTCACATCAGAACAAAATCACCACTTTGATCTGCTTGCTCAATGCAGTTTCTCCCATTTCCAGCTATTTCTGCTTCATCGAGTCCTACTGAAATCGCCATCCCACAACCAGCTTTCTGTTCTGGCTCCTCCACCCCCAAGAGGCACCTGCCAGCTCCTGCTGCCACAATAATGACATTTTTTCGGTTTAGAGCTAATCATGCTGCCAACTGACTGCAACAGCCTAGCAGCAGTGCTGCCTCTGTCCTAGTGATGCTCTTATTAATGGAAATCCATAATGCTGATTTGTCTTTAAAGAATGTTATTAAGGAAAAAACCAACTTCAGATACTGCAATGAGTTCCAGCACCCAAGGGAAGTATGCCTTCCCATTTGCCATTTTTTCGCTTCCCCCTTCCCACACAGCCAGTCAAATTCCTCATCCAGCAAAAATTCAGAGACCAGGTGCCTCTCAGAATCAGATTCTAACAACTACAAAAGAAAAACAATAAAAATAATAATGACAAAAAGAAACAGGGTAAATCCATTGCTCCTTTACTTATAATTTTATTAAGATAGATACAGCTAAATAATCAGTGTATATTTGACTATTTGACTGAAACACTATATCACCGACAACCTGGGTCATCTTATGCTACTAGAGTATTCTTAAAGCAAGTGATTACTTGGATAAATAAAGAGCAATTCTTTCATTTAGATAAGGCATAACCATGACATGCAATCATGACTAATCCTGCATTTAGTAAGGGAAAAAACAAGATGGCATACTAAGTCTTTTCTAAATTAAATTTTCTCCCTCTAATTAGATTTCACCCCCCTGTGTAGAATGGAACAGTCTGGCAGGCAAAACCAGTGTTGTCAGGGCAAGAAGATGGAGTGTGCTTTATCTATTGGCTACTTGCAAGCACAGATAATCAGACCTTCTGTCATCGGATCTATACATTCACTGCGACATTTGCTAAGTAAACCCCAGTCATTTTTTCTAATCCTGTCGTGTAAATTAAACTCCTGAGCCTTAACGTTATTTCTTTTTTAAATCGATGTATAAATTACTTAACCTCTACAATAAAGATCACACCTCAGACTTATTTGCTAATTACAAACAACTCTACTTTAAATGCATGTGCTAATATAGGGCACAAGCATAAATTTCATTCTCTTACACAGAGACACAAACTCAGAAATTGTAACTTAAATTTCTGCAACTGAGATGATCAATAAAGCAAGAGGGACTTGGTTTTCCATATCCTGCAACTTCAATCTCAAGTATCATCCAGAAATAACACTTACCAAGTCTGAAGGTAAACTATGTGTAACCAAGCCTGATCAGAATTACCAAAACCAAAGCATGATGACATACGAAAAAGAAAGTTAGGATAAGCTGTCTCAGGGGGAAAAAAGGGAACCAAAATGCTTTGTAGGACCGGTATCCTACCTACATGCTTAATGGAGTAATAGAGAGGAATCAACGGCCACAGGTTTGGCACATAAAATGACTTGGACTGATCAGGCTGAGTTCACTCCAGGGATTCTTCAGCCTCACATAAATTTAACTTAGATCATTCGACAGCTCCTAAATCAGGAAGCAGAAGCATTCACAAGACGATTGATTCCTTAACAGGGTTAAAGAAACCCACAAGGTCCAGCACCAGCTTTCCAGCTCTTTGTAATGGCACTAGCCCAATATCAAGCTCTCTGATCAGGAGGCACAGGCAATATAAAACTAGGAAAGAGATTAAGCATAGGTCACAGCATTATTAACAGAAGGAGCAAAAATGTTAACTGAGCCCCTGTCAGATGCAATGGATGAGTTCAGTTCCAGCACAGAGCCTGTGCTGGACAAAAAAAAAATAAATAAAAAAATTGTAACTACATGATTATCATTAACCACCTCCACACATCTTGTCTGTGGCCCTGCTATTTGCAGCTTGCAAACACCCGACTATTCCTGCAAAGCCTAGAAACAACACTGCATACTCCTGAGCACCATCCGCTTCTCCAAGAACAACTAACTGCATGCACAGAAATGCAGACATTTCAGTTTCTCATTTTAAATAAATATATTTTAAACAATTAAATTTCTGATGGTCTGGCATTGTGATTTGACCTACTACAATTTCATCTGCCCCCTGAATTACATATAATAAATTTATGGCTGGTTACACATTAAGCTCTTATAAAGGTTATCCAGAAACATTTTTACCCTCAAATCACCCAGACTGGTAGTGACAGTTTTGAGCCACCTATTATCACTGCCTCATAGCTGAGATCTTAATATGCATTTGAAAGAGCATGGTACACCAAAACTGTTTTCTTGTTACCATAAGGTTGTACTTGGTATCAAACTGGGCTCTAGAGATGAAAATCTGAAAATTAAACAAATGGGAAATAATCTTTCAGTAGACTCTCTACAACTCTATATGAAAAGAAATAAAGAATAAAAATACTTGTCTATCAAGAGTCTCAATATTAAGAATTAAAACCTCTGATTTCATTAATTCATAAGTGTTCGCAAATAATTTTGAACTGCCAACTGTAAGTTGAGACCTGTGAACAAAAATAAGGAAGTCCAAGTCTCAGTCACAGAACAGAGCATTAGATTGATTGCCAGGTTTTTCAAAATGAGACCATCAGGGCTCTCAAGGAGAGGAAATTAAGATTTTGCACATTAACAAGATTACTTCTGTTCCACACACATCAAAAACTTTCTGTATTTCATCTACGTAAGGTTATTATATGTTCACTTTTAACTACATCTGCTAAAACTGACTTAAAGTTGGACTCATTATGTCCTACCCACATATCCCTTGCTCCAAGTAATGGAACAGGATGTATTTCAGAGCTCAGCATGCCTCAAAACAGAAAATGTCTCCATGCTTCTAGTCTGTTTTCCCATTAAAAACTGAACTTAAATAAGCCTTATTACAGAAAGTGTTATATCTCAGCAAGGCTGAAAGTTGCCTGCAAAGCTATGTATTGTCTTCAACCAAACTTTAACGGGACAAACCAGAAATACTGCAGAAGATACAAAAAAGTTTATAAACCAAGTGTTGCAGTACTGCTTAAGCTGACAGAATGCCAAGGGATGACTAATATGGTCACATCCTACAGTAACTCTCCCAATGTAATTATGGCACTAGAATACAGGAATAACTTCAATCTTCGCCTGCTGTAGCAAGTACAGCTCCTTGAGAATGCTGCTGTACTATGCTGAGAAACTTCTACCCATACTGCTCATATAAAAACCAGAACCACATGCTCATAAATAAAATCAAAGTATCGTATTTGCTTTATGGTCCCCATAAACTAAACAGATCAATCCATAATAAAGTGGAAGGAGAATATAACAAAAAAGCAACTGCACTTACTGGCAGTTATATTAATTACACCAAAGCATGGCTAAAAGTGGGCTCAGTTTCAACAAGCAGCAAACTTGGCTGTAAAAGACACTGAACAAGTGGAAAAGAACACGTTACTAGTATTAC